TCTCTGGACCAGGAGGGACAAATATTCCTTCCTGAATCGTGATTTCAACTCCTCCCTCAGCTTGCTCAAATAGCGCAGTTTCTGTGTCGTTGGATTATGTCCCATATTCTGGCACTCGGGAAACTCGACATCTGTCTGTTCTTGTAGAAACATGGAAGGTGATATTGTCACAAGATCATTCGGATCGTCGCTGACATAAGTCATGGGCCTTCCATTCATCACTGCCTCTGCATGACACAGCAGGGTCATCAATTGTTGATATGTTAATGTCGATTTTCCGAGCATTCTTTTTAGTATGTCTTTGAGGGAACGAATCAATCTCTCCCACCATCCACCCCACCAGGCAGCAGTGGGCGGGATGAATTTCCATTCAATACGCTTCACTTTCCCGTCGTTAGAAACGCGTTCCCAGTCAATCTTTTTAAAGAAGTTATTGGCTCCTACAAAATTTGTTCCGTTGTCGCTGTAGATGGTGGATGGACGTCCTCGTCTCTTGATGAATCTCTCCAGGGCCATTAGGAAATCTTCTGTGCTGAGAGATATTACCAGTTCCAAATGTACACAGCGGTACACAGCACAGGTGAAGAGAACAACCCAGGTCTTGGTCTGATCTTTCAGATAGAGCGGGCCCGCCAGATCAATCCCTACCACCTCGAATACCTTGGCGTTATGTACTCGAGTGGCAGGTAATGGAGCGTCTTCCACCACAACGGGTTTAGCGGAGAAGCGGCGACATGTGACACATCTTCTCACTATTTTCTTAATGGTCTGTCTCGCCTTTACTATCCAATATTTTTCCCGAAGTTTGTTCATCAAAAATTGTACACCAGCGTGGCAATTCTCAACGTGTGAATCACATATCATTTGTTCAATCAACGGATGAGTCCCATGTAATAGTACTGGCAAACGGAAGCCATATTCGTCGCTGCTGTAAATCAATTTTGTTTTCACACGCAGGATTCCTTCTACTTCAGATACCTTCAGACCAGGTATAGAGTGGCTAGGGAAACACTCGGCCTGAACTAATTTCAAAAGCGCCAGCTCCGCTTCATCGATCTCCTTCACAGAAAGTTCGCCCTTTACTTTCGTTGAAGATCGGAGGTTGTTGATGAACCTTCTAATCCACGCCATCATCCGCACATTTTTTATGAACGAGGAGAAATATTTCATGTACCAATTGATCGGTACTCTTAACTGTTGTCACAACAGCAATCTTCTTTCTTTCCGCACAGATTTCTTCTTCATTCAGGTCTTTATACCTGGAAGGCCAAAATTCTTCGGAGAGTTTTAACCAGGAAGGGCCCTCCCACCATCTAGACTGTATCAGTCGGGAGAGGCTGCATCCTCTGGAGGGTAAATCAGCTGGATTGCACTCGCTAGGAACATATCTCCAATTTCCAGGATCACTAAGTCTGCATATCTCCTTCACGCGATTCCCGACAAAGGTACCCCACTGATCATCGCGCTTTATCCAAGCGAGGGCTGTTGTGGCATCAGACCAGAATACATTTTTGATATCTTTTAACTCTAGAGCTTCAAAGATCATCTTGTTTAATCGTGCTCCTACAACACAGGCTAAAAGTTCAAGTCTTGGTATCGTAGGTCTCTTGAGAGGAGCGACTCGAGACTTAGCCGCCATCATATGCACTTCAACTTTGTCACCAACCCGAGTCCGAAGGAAGACCACAGCAGCATAAGCTTCACTACTAGCATCAACAAACGTGTGTATCTGCCAGTCCTTCTGCGGTACCATCAATGGATTGAAATTCCTAGGAATTGCCATGCCTTTGTGCAGCTGAAGGTCGTCGAACCATAGGCTTAGTTCATCCTTGTAGTGACGGTCCAATTCATCGTCCCATGCCAACTTTAGAGTCCAAGCTTTTTGCAATAGAATTTTAGGCTTTATTAATATTGGACTCAGAAATCCAATAGGGTCATATATCTGAGCTAAGCAGGACAGGATACTTCTTTTGGTTATCTTGGGGGGTATGGCTACGGGAATTTCACATGACAAACAATCTTCCCTTTTATCCCAACATATACCAAGCACTTTAGATATCTCTGCTCTTTCAAAGGGGTAAGTATCGGAGGCCACGTCCAGGCTATGCTCCCAACGGCTTAGCTCCAACCTAGCATTATCCATGATGGACGTTGCGGTCAATTTGAGATCTTGTAACTCTTCAAAAGAGTTCACGCTTGTGACTAAATTGTCCACATAAAAGGATTTCTGCAACCTCTGAGCTAACGGTTTATGTTCAGGTCGAACATTAGACAGGTGGTATTCTATTACTGCCCCCAAAATGAAAGGACTACAGTTAACACCGAAAACAACACGTCTATGTCGGAATACTTCTGTCTTTTCTCTATTTTGGGAATACCACAGAAAACGCAGGTAATCTCTGTCCCTTTCATTCACCTCAATCTGAAGAAACGCTTTCTTAATGTCTGCCACGACACCAAACTTGCCATTTCTAAATCTTAGCATAAGGTTGGGAATCATCTCTATGAGGTTAGGTCCCTTTTCAAGACAGTCATTTAAAGATGGGGATCTATAGACCTTGCTAGAAGCATCAAAGACAGGCCTGATAGGCGTAGTCCCACTGGAGAGTTTCAACACAGGACGATGAGGCAGGTAGAAGGCCTCAGCGTCGTGTTGTTCAGCTGGGACTTTCTCAATTATCCCATCATCCAACCAGCCTCGGAAAATATCATCATAGTCCTCATAAAGATTCAAAGAGATTAATTTCTCAGTCGTCTGTTCTAATCTCTTCATAGCAACCTCCCTGTTGTCCGCGATTTTCGCTTTCTCTACAGTCCACGGGAGGGAAACAACATATCTTCCTGAAGCAGAATGTTGGACTGTTTTTAGAAAATGTCGACGCGCCAGTGCGTCTCTCTGATCTCTCTGTTTAACCTCAATAGGATCCATAATGCCAAGAACATCGAGATTCCACAGATTGGTTACACTGCTCTCCGAAATTGTCATCGTTGTAACATGATGAGCGAGTGGAACGTCACTACCTGGCTGACATTCTCCCATTAAAGTCCATCCAAAACGCGTCTGCGACGCAGTCAAGCCATTTGACAACACACAAGATTTCATCATGAAAATAGATCCCAATACATCGCATCCTAGAAGTATTTCGATTTCCATGTCATCCTTTCCAATATCAGGAGCCCATATTTTGCGGGCTTTGAGTTCTTTCAACCATGGCCCGCGGCTCAATCTTGGTAGGTTACCACAGATTTTTTGTTGGTCAAGAAGCTTCGCAACCATCTTAAAATTCCCCGATGCATGACCCAAATTGACTCTGTATTCTTGGTGGACACTTTCACTAGTATGACCTCCAAACACCACATGTTTAAGTGATTCCTGGCCAATGGGAGATAGTCCGAGATCCTGGGCAGTTTTAGACAAAATATAGGATCGTTGGGAACCTGTGTCAAGGAGGGCACGCACTACTTTCGCCGAAGTCGCACCTTCGACTTTAATCTTCAGAGTCTGTAGCAAAATCAGAGACGAAGCGCTAAGACCGGAGAATGAAACTCCGTTTTCAACTGTAGGAGAAGCGTCACAGTCTTCCACCTGTTCCTTGTTTTCATCCGCTGACTCTCGTGCAGGAGCATTAAGAGGGCATAAAATATCAAGGTGCTTCTTCTTACATCGATTACATTCAGTTATGCGCCTTCTACAATTAGAAGAGATATGACCTGGTTGGAGGCAGGAGAAACAACATTTAGCGTTTTTAATACGCTCTCTTCTTTCTTTAATGCTCATTCTGCGCACAGCAAGACATTCTGTGTTTTTATGATCTTTATTACAAAAGATGCAATTCTGGGCACGTCCAGCAAAGAGTCCAGAGGCCGTAGGTATCTTAGCAGGATGTGATTGTCTGCCCACGTTTCTATCTTGTTTCAGAGATCTAAGTCCAAACTTGGATCCAGCTAAGGCTCTGTCTTGTTCTGCTGCAGCTTCCTTTTGGAGAAACTCCATAATTAGGTCAACTCTAGTTTGAGTCGAATCATTAGCATCAATCTTGACATCATGGAGGGGGCTTCTTTGCCAAGCCTTCATGAGTTCCTCTGAGAGACATGCCTCAATCATTGGAAATATAAATACAGACATCTGTCTGGCCTCAATCTTTAAGGATTCCAATGCTCTCAAATGAGTCACCAACTCATCATAAAATGAAGTCACCTTCAACTGTTGTTTGGAGGAGCAATCGATCATAAGGCGTATAAGGTCCCTGACATAGACTTGTTGCAACAGTTCAGGCCTTCCAAATCTTTCTGTCAAAGTTTGTATAACTTTGGGGTAATTCTCGGCAGTCAGGGGGTAACTATCAACCAGTTTACTAGCTCTGGTTCCCGGCGACATAGATTGCACAAGATATTGAAACTTGTCGCTGTCTTCTAAAGTAGGATCGACATGTATCTTGTTGAACTGTGCCCACCATCCCAACCAATCTTTTATTTCTCCTGTAAACTTCTTTAATTCTATCTTGGGTAGTTTTACAGTTCTATGGTGTGAGCTAGAAGCGAAGCTCACTTCACTGGTCGTGGGACTGGATGCAGTGATCCTGGGTTCAACAAGAGCGAGACATTTTTTATATATCCTCTTATATCTCTGGGTATATTGCAAGGCTTCCTCATCGTCTTGCTCTAGTTCCTCTTCGCTAACGTCTGAAGTTAGCATAAAGTCTCTTATCTTGCCTTAGTTCACAAGAAGCTCACTGTGAGTTTCTTCAATGATCTCTCTATTACATTCAATGTCCTCTACAAGTATCGGTGGAGTACCTGACAGAAACTCTTCTGTCGTCTTCAAGCTGCGAGTTAGTCGCTTTCTAAGTAAATTTCTATGTCTTTTTAAAATTTCCATTTTTCAAAAAACACCATAAACAGAGGGTAAAACAAAAGGTACTTATCTTAAGTCTTGAACTTGTACTCCGCCGTTAATCCACTTGATCTTGCCTTGTCAGAAGCCCACCCGCGGGGACGCCACTTTGTGTAGAAATGTAGGGTAGTCGGTTCACAAAACACTGAGCGAAATTCGGTAGAAGAATTCGCTGTGATGATTCTTTGTGGGCTGTTGCAAGGATTTAAATAAGATCACTAAATAGCAGAAAGGAGGGGGTAAAAATCCCCTTCTAACTAACTTTATTTAATACATATTAAGAGGACAGAGGAAAACACGCGACTGGTGGGTAGCAAAACCAAGCCGTGTTCTGATGTTTATGTTGGCGGCTGGCCCCGCCGTGTTTACAGTCGACACTTGAGCTGTCTGGGCTGCGTCCGGAATAATGGATCTCCACCATTCCACACAGCGGTATTTGTAAATACATATTTTTTTGTCTATTTAATATACGATAAGGCTTATTTATTATTTTATTAGTCTTAACGTAAAATTGAACTTACCGTGATATTTTTTTTCGTTTGTTTTCAAATCACTTTTCTGACACCATGTTTGATTCGTTAGTGTCTTGTACAAAACAACGAATCACTAACCTATCATGAAGACGTAACTTTATTGAATGGCCACTATTGTAATATGTTATTTTACATATCCTACATGAACCAAAACATTAACTTGTGATGATGATATATTCAATCACTGAATAACCTAACAGTATATGCGTTATTTTAGCTTTTCAATTTCACGTGTTAAAGCAATATTTAATGCTTTAGTGTGTACCTTATTTTAATTCTAATTTCAAGTGTTAAAGAAATATTTATGTTTTAGTATATGCGTTATTTTAGCTTTTCAATTTCACGTGTTGAAGAAATATCTAATACTTTAGTGTGTACCTTATTTTAATTCTAATTTCAAGTGTTAAAGAAATATTTATGCTTTAGTATATGCGTTATTTTAGCCTTTTTTATTTCACGTGCTAAAGAAATATTTTATGCTTTAGTGTGCACCTTATTTTAATTCTAATTTCAAGTGTTAAAGAAATATTTTATGCTTAGTGTATGCGTTATCTTATCTTTCCAATTTCACATGTTAAAGAAATATTTAATGCTTTAGTGTGTACCTTATCCTAATTCTAATTTCAAGTGTTAAAGAAATATTTTATGCTTTAGTGTATGCCTTATTTTAACCTTTCAATTCCACGTGCTAAAGAAATATTTTATGCTTTAGTGTATGCGCTATTTTAACCTTTTCAATTTCACGTGTTAAAGAAATATTTTACGCTTTAGTGTATACGTTAATTTAACTTTGCAATTTCACGAGTAAAGAAATATTTTATGCTTTAGTGTGCACCTTATTTTAATTCTAATTTCAAGTGTTAAAGAAATATTTTATGCTTAGTGTTTGCGTTATTTTATCTTTCCAATTCCTATCCGTCAATTAACGTCCTCGCGAAAATGGCACAGTGCCCGCAGGACGTATATTAACGTCCTACTTTCTTAAAAATCGGTATAAAATCATAGCGCGCGCTACGTCCCGTGGCCACTTGCCCTCCTGCAAGTTTAAACATGCCTCAAGGTCGTTCACCACTTTGCCACATGATAGGGTGGATGGCTGACCAATTAAATTGAGTTTCCTCCTCTCCCAACCTCTACTGACCTATTTTTAATCTGCCGTCATTTGCTAATTGTACTTTGCGCGCTTCTTCTTGTCACGTTTTTTTTTTTGCTTAAAATTTTTATTTGAAGTTTCTAATATTTTAAATAGACATTTTTGGATAAAAATGAATCCTGATCAGCCCAGTACATCCAAAGTTATCTCCTCTTGCCCATCTCCAGAGTGGGAGATTTATGACCCCCATCTTTTTGATTCTGGATCAGAATTAGATGATTCTTTTGAGGATCCAGATATCACACTCCATGCTAACTCTGATGAAGATATTGATTCGGATTCAACAGAAATATATTTTGAGGGACCAAGAGATGAAGAGGCTCCTGCAACAACAATATCTCCTCTGGTAAGTGATGACTGGATTGAAACTACTACATCCACGATACCCAGACCTCTGTTTACTGCCCAACCTGGACCAAGGGCCGAGTTATTTCCAGAACCCAACTCTCCTTACCAGATATTCAAAAAATTTATTGATGAGGATTTTTTTGGTAATCTGAAACTTGAGACTAACCGCTATGCTAGGGCAACCATAGACAGAGAAAGAAAAAAGGGTCCTTTGAATCCTAGGAGTCATTTAGAAATGTGGAAAGCTGTTTCTGTGTCTGAGCTCAAGATATTTATGGCTATAATAATTCACATGAGCCTTGTTGTAAAGACCAGATTGAAAGATTATTGGTCAACCCGCAGTGAACTTAGGACAACTTACTGCAGAGATGTGGAGATGATCAGACCACGGTTTGAAGCCATTCTCTCCATGCTTCACCTGAATGACAACGCTTCCTATGTGGCTTTTGGTCAACCAGGCCATGATCCTCTCCATAAAATTAGGACATTCCTTGATCCTCTGGTCCACAAATTCAAAACATATTACTATCCCTGCCAACCTTTGACTATTGACGAAGCTATATGTCCTTTTAGAGGAAGAATACGGTTCAGAATATATATCAAAGGAAAGCCACACAAATATGGGATCAAGATATTTGAACTTTGTGAATCAAGTTCAGGATATGCCTGCAACATAGAAGTGTACACGGGGAAGCAGCCTGGTCAAGGTGCAGACTACAATTCGACCTTAAAACTGGTGGAAAGGATAGCGGCTCCATACTTCAATAGAGGACATGTTATATACGAGGGCCATCCAATAAATAAGTTTCCCTATTTTTTTTCTGCGAACGAAACGTTGTAAAAATTAGTTAGTATAGAATAAATGGTCACTAGGATGCGTTGGAAGCTGGTGACCTTCAAAATCACGCTACTCGACCTCGCAAGTCCGTAGCGCTTCAGTTTCCATCGAGCTACCACTGGTGAACGTGTCCACTTGCGAACTCCGTTCTGTAATTCGTTTTTTCACGGCGAAAAATTAAACTGCGGTCAATATTCATCGCAATTCAGTGTCAGTGTATGGTGAAGAATGTATGAGCATCCAAATGGTTCGCCGATGACGTTCATGGTTCTTAGAAGGACGGCAAAACGTGCATGATGACGAGCGAAGCGGCAGCCCCGTTACTGCTACGGACAATGCAGCCGTTTGCTGCTGTTCGGAATGTGGTGGAAGTAGATCGCCGCGTCACTATTGACGAAATAATGATTCGACTACCTCCTGGAATCGAAATTAGACGCTCTTCGATTGGAACAATCATGTCAGATGTTTTGAATTCTCTCAAAGTCTGCGCAAGATGGGTCCCGCGTTTTCTCTTGGAAAATCACAAGCAACAACGGATGGAGGCAGCCCGAGCTTTCCTGGAAATGCATCAAAGAGATAGAGATCAACTGTTTTGCCGTATTGTCACTGGAGATGAAAGCTGGGTGCATCATTCAACTCCAGAAACAAAACGACAAAGCATGGTGTGGAAGAAGCCTGAGGAAAGTGCACCAAAAAGGCGAAGGTCACAATCTCTGCAGGCAAAGTTATGGCTATGGAAAACTTCAAATGGGAAATTTTCACACATCCACCTTATTCTCCGGAACTTGCCCCAAGCGACTTCCATCTTTATCCAGGACTCAAGTGGCACCTTGGAGGCAAGCACTTTGCGAATGATGACGAAGTGCAGGCGGAGGCGAACCACTTGCTACGAAGACAGGACACGGCTTGGTACAACAGTGGTATCTAAAAATTGCTACAACGGTACCAAAAATGTTTGGACAGAAATGGTGATTATTTAGAGAAGTAGTCTATGAGTTGTATAATGAAAATAAAATAACTGCATAATTGTAAATAATGTGGTTTATTTGTTAAAAAATAGGGAACTTATTTATTGGATGGCCCTCATACTTTGACAGATGGTTCTCCTCTACCACACTTTTTCAATTTCTCTGGAGAAACAATACCCAATCTGTAGGAACAATAAAGAAAAATAGAAGAGGCTTGCCAAAAAATACATTTTCCAAAAAATTGAAAAAAGGAGAGGTAATTTACAGAATGAAATGTCCTCTTTTGGCATTCAAATGGCATGATACTAGGGACGTTTTCATGGTCTCCACAGCACATGATCATGCCATGATACCTGTAACCAAGAAAGCCAGGAAATCTGACCAACCTCTCACCATGAAACCAGCTGCAGTATTGGACTACAACAAGCACAAGGCTGGTGTTGACAGAAGTGACCAGCTCCTCTCTTACTACTCTTTTCAGCGGAGAAGTATGAAATGGTGGAAAAAGCTTTCTTTCACATCTTTGGCCTGACAATAGTCAATTCTCATATAATTTATAATAAATTAAATCCAACATCCAAACTGTCACTCCGAGACTATCATCTTGTCATTATGGAAAAACTGGTTGAAGAAGCCGGAGTTGAGATCACAGATCAAAAACTTGGTAGTTCAAGCTCAAAAGCCAGACTTTTGGAGAGACACTTCATTACAAGAATAAAAGAAGAAAACAAGCCAAATGTAAATATCCAACGAAAATGCGAAGTCTGTGCTGAAAAAAGAAAAAGTGCCACTGGAACCTTTCAACACTAACGGAAAAGGATTACCTTGCCATGGTATATGTATGAGAATGTATAATAACAAAGGTCATGGGTATTCTAATGGTGTGAATTTGAGCATTCCTTTTAAATAAAACCTACTTCCCCTTGGAGAAGACGAGCAAAATATTACAGCGATGCTGATTCATTATATGGATTTACAGATTTCTTATAATTATCTTGTTTTATAGAGGCAAGCTTTAATTATGCTCGTGAATCAGACGTGTGGTTTCTCTCCACGACAATAGTGTTTTTTTTTAGGCATAGTTTTTTTTTCCCGTGAAGGATCTGGGCAGTCTAAATCCTGGAGTTAGAGTGGAAATCTAGATAGGGAGACTTAATCCACTCATCGCAGATAACTCCAGTGATTAATTAAGACAAGTCTAACTAACAGGGTGTTCAAAAAGCAGAACTTTGAGGAATTAGTCACGTCAAAGATAATGTTTGCGCGGGAGTCTGGGGGGAAATGATGAGAAAGGATTACAGTGATCCAACTAATAACAGTTGAATAAATAAAATAGAAAGATCCCATATTGGTTACTAACATCAGTGGGAGCAGATACCACTATGAAATATATATAAGTTTCTTTTTTTTTTTTTTGGAACCATGCATGAGTTTAACAAGGAGCTGACGCCGTAGAGTGGCCTTCTCATTGGGGTTGATCGAACTTGCTGCTGATTAGGGGAAGTGTAGTGTGTCAGGCCAGTGTATTAAAAAGGAATAGAGAAGACAGTTGAACTAATAAAATTAACGAAGATATACAAGATTAAGATTCCTCCTTGGGTTCAGTTAATTTAATTACCGCGATGAGAACGGTATTATAAGTCGGGAGAAAGTTGATTTGGTCGCATAAGGGATGGCCTCCTGGACGTGACAATTATCACCATGGTACTTATTGAATACCGGACGGGATTCGTGTGTAATAATTCATGTCGTCAAGGGAGAGTAGGAAGAAACCAAGACACACCCCAAAGTATCTGGGTGGCGATAAAAGTGACGACATAGTATAAGTTCAACAATATACACTGGTCAAATATACGATTCCTTCCACATCAATGTTTTGACAACCACTTCATTCTGAAAGGAGCAACGGGTTTTAACCCTAATGTTAAGGTCCTTTGGAGCGACATCTCCTGTTGCATAACGTAAAGACGCATGGCAATAAAGACAATAAAGTTTACCTAGATCAACTGTTCCCAGATGAACATTTATGACCTGAAAGAAGGGCTTCATTCACCCGCATGAATATGTCTTAGACAAGCAGCCTAATTCTATGAGCTACTATCCTGTGAGTTAAGAGTTGTCAACAATGTTAAGGAATTTTTTTCTTTGGAACGAGAGGAATTGCATAGTCTGATTCAACCAGCGTACAACATTTATAAGATTATACCAAGTTATAGTTAGCATCTAGAACCTACAATTCTGTAAAAGGCTTGCATAATTTCTTGAAGGGAATATTGTTCAGCGAAGTTGTAAGACAACCGACTTTTGTACATATATATCTCCGTTTTACCATGATAAGGTTGCCCTGTCCCGTTTAGTGGGAGACAGTACTAAAGAAGATTGACTTGTCAAATTCCCAATGACAACAGTAAAGTATTTACTGACCAGCCTAGACAGGATTTCTAAGGCCGTCGAGACAAGCTTATCTCCTAAAAGGGGGAAGGTCAAGGGGAGACAGAATAAGAGGAAATTTCCTCCTTTCAAATAGGAGGGTAGGTCGTTAGCTTTGATAAGAAGTGGCAGGGGAGGAGTAGATTCCCAGATAGGACTCCTGAGATATCAAAGTGGACTAGCGTAATATCGGGATTCGTTCCCGAGGACGGGTTTCGTGGAAACTCCAGAGTGTTGAAAGGTATTGAAAGATGTTGAAAGCAATGGAAGAGAGATGCAAGAAAGGTGTTGAAAGATGTTGAAAAGTGTTGAAGTGTTGAAAAGAGTTGAAAAGTGTTGAAAGATGTTGAGAGATGGTGAAAGGTGTTGAAAATGATGTAAAACGAAGAAAGAGATGTAAGGAGATAGAAAAGAAGAAAAAGGAGATAAAAGGTGTAGAAAGGTGTTGAAAGAGATGAAAGAAATAAAAAGAAGTGATGAAAAGGTGTTGAAAGGTGTTGAAAGCGATGAAAGGAGATGAAGAGAGATGAATAATGATAAAAAAAGAGATGAGAAGTGATGAAAAAGGTGGAAATCGACAGAAAGAAATGATGAAAGGCGTTGAAAGGTGTAGAAAGGTGTTGAAAGAAAGATGTTGAAAGGTGTTGAAGTGTTAAAAAGTGTTGAAAGATGTTGTAAAGGTGTTGAAAAGTGTTGAAAGCGATGGAAGAGAGGTGCGAGAAAGGTGTTGAAAGATATTGAAAGGTGTTGAAGGAAATGAAAGGAGGTGAAAAGTGTTGAAAGGTGTTGAAAGAGATGAAAGGAGATATTGCCTTAATATTATACAATAATATAAAATAAAAGGATTAAAAGCGCGAATGTTTCTTTTATACATAAAACGAACTTCTACTGTCCTTACTGCGATGAAAAAATATATTGGGAAGGCTTGGCTCATCAGTGGTGAACCCTCCCAGCGGTTTCGCCAATTTAATCCACCAGACCGCTTCTCAGAGCTCTAATACTGTATTGGATCATTCTGCTTTTATATGCTACACTGAAGGATGGAATCTTAGAAATGGTTTTCAAGTAAACTATGGACATAAGCTTATAGGACAGTAGAATAACATTCAAATATTTGCTCTGAGCAATGCTCTTCAGCAAACTATAAAGACAAGGCCATTAGGAAGCAAATATTTGAATGTTATTCTACTGTCCTATAAGCTTATGTCCATAGTTTACTTGAAAACCATTTCTAAGATTCCATCCTTCAGTGTAGCATATAAAAGCAGAATGATCCAATACAGTATTAGAGCTCTGAGAAGCGGTCTGGTGGATTAAATTGGCGAAACCGCTGGGAGGGTTCACCACTGATGAGCCAAGCTCCCAATATATTTTTTCATCGCAGTAAGGACAGTAGAAGTTCGTTTTATGTATAAAAGAAACATTCGCGCTTTTAATCCTTTTATTTTATATGTATAGATGGCGCGTTATTGCTTTGTGTTAATACAATAATATATTATATTGCCTTAATAGAGCAATTTTGACTCTTCATCATTTAGTGTTTTAATAGATAATTTGTTTTTAGCCTAGAGGCCGATGTTTGTAAATAGCACAAAATATGCACTGAGAGTTTGTATAAGCTGATTTGTCTAAAGTTCAGTAACTGTATGCACTAATTTATATGTATAAGTCCATATTAATTATTATGTTAGGTTATATTAAATAACAAATATGTATTCTCCTTTTTGAGAATCCAGAATTTTTTCCTTTAAAGAGTTTTCAGTTTTTTTAAAACTACATTTGTTTTAGTGTTAGAATATGATTTTAAAGAGTTTTCAGTTTTCTTTTTTAAAGCTACATTTTGTTTTAGTGTTAGAATGTGATTCTAAAGAGTTTTCAGTTTTTTTTAAGCTACATTTTTGTTTTAATGTCAAGAGGTGATTTAAGATTGAAGTGAGTTCAACAGTTTACTTTATTTTTATTTTTATTTGAAGTAAATAATATCTGAACTCTGGTTCAACTTTAAATATAGGCAAGAAAACTTAGATGCACTAGATAACTGCTGTGCTTGTAACCAATTCCCTATGGGCAGGCTTGGAACATGCGTTGGGTAAGTTGACACCCTATAATCCCTTGTGTCCAGAATGCAGTCCAAGGAGAATTTCTAATGAGAGTGTGTAGGGCAGTTGTGATCTAAGAGTTGATAAGTAGGGTAACAAGTGATCTCTGTTGTTAAACTCCAAAACGGGTTGGGTATTAAAAGCCCTATGATTCCAGTATCGGGGGGAGTTTAGCTGAAGAGCAGAGAAAGGAAGACGCCAATAACCTTGAACAGGACGTAAGGTCGGCAAACACTTGGAGATTTATCCTACATGGCAATGAGGTAAATGCATGAAGTTCAATTCGCTCCAATTTAAGTGCTAGTTTGATGATTCATTTTGTTTAATCACCAAGTGTCAAGACAAGAAGAAGAATTTCAAACCGTTAGATGCACAATTTTAATGATAGGTTAGGTTTCAGATTTGATTGTTGGCAATCAATATATATTTTTATTTATTTATTTAAGTATAGGTAATATATATAGAGTTTGTATGAGGCATTTTCTTTTGAGTCAACTAGGGCATTAGTCCCCAATTTGTTTTAATTTGGTAATTTTATTTGATTTCACACTTAGTCCTGGAGATTAGTAATTGTTAAGGTGAATGTTAACATTGACGATTGAAGGGCTTTGGCTTTTATAGTAGTTTCTAGCTTTAGTTTATGTGCAAGATGCGAAAGAAATTTAATGAAAGGGAAATCTTAGTGAATGTGTCAAGGATAGGAACAATTATACTGTTAGACCAAAGGTACATTAGAATAGTGTTAGGGAATTTAATAGGTTCGATTTTTAATTTTGATTTCTTTATTTGTTGGGATCGGTAGCCTCACAGGACTTACAACTCTATTAATAGGAATATATCCGCTCCTTTTTGTTAGGCCTCCTTGTGAAGGAGTATAAGTATATATTTTTTTATTTTTGTGTAAGTAATTACTTTATTTAATTATAATCAACTTGAATTCTAAGGGTCGTAGATAATGACCATGTCTCGAACCTCAGACTAGGAGATTGTGGGAGGTCACGGTCAGACCAAAAAGCCTACAAATCTTCTCCTCATGAGAGGGAACGGAGAGGTATCAGGTGAACTTTGTGCTAGGTGAGGGATTTAGTTGCCAATGTCGTAAAGCCAGGGGCATAGCGACAAACCTCGGGTAACCGATCTGACATCGTAGTTTTCGACGCTTTAAGCGTGGCTGGGATGAGGGTGATTCAGACGGGAGGTTGGGAGAAATTGGCACGTTAGATGCTCTTCTATATATTGCGCAGCTTGGAACCAATCCTCTATGGACAAACTTGGAACATGCGGTGGGTAAATTTGGATTCCCTATAATTCCTTGTTTCTAAGTCAAAGTCCAAAGGGGGTTTCTAATGAAAGTTAACAATGCGAGCAAATAAGAGGCAAGTTACGATTAGACGAGGCGATTCCGTCTACGAATTTAGGTACCAGATAACAAGGTCACTATATGGACTGTCTAGATTCTTTGTGTTTTTATCGCCCCAGGCTAGCAAAGATAATCACCTAGTAAAGACTATTGTCTGCCATACGTTTAGTTAGAATGAGTTCAAGTCTAAATACCATTTAGTAAGTAGATTTTTTTTAAAATGAGAGTAACTCATTCTATGATAAGATAAAATTTAAATTAGTAGGACAACAAAAACGAACTTCAGAGCAGATTGCCAGAACAGGCCAGTATTCCAGACCTGAAGAAGGAGAAAATTTAAGGGAAGATTGAATACCAATTTTTTTTTGTGGACTGAGAAGTAGCCCAGAACAGTAAGCTTTTTAGAACAGAAGATCAAATACTGAAGAGATATTAAGAAGTCAAGTGTGAGAAGATATATCATAAGGTAGAAGTAAGACATAGGTTGTTATTCACCAGCATTTATCCTCTTTGAGGATAACAATATATATTTATTAA